GCCTTCTTCAAACCGGCGAGTGGGTGGAGGCGTGAGTCGTGGGTGTGGGGTGTGATGAGTGACGGGTGATGGTTGATGGACGGATGGTGTTGGAAGTGGAGCAGTTTATCTCACTCCAGAGGTGACCAATGTCATCTACATCTCCCAGCCTATTATTACCTTTTCTGTACTGGAGTGGCCCTTCGAGGCAGTTAAATAAACAGATAAGGCATTTTACACAGTATTAGAAGACTTTGGGTCAAATCATTGAATCTAGAACAAGTTAACCCCCCGGAGGCTTCACTGCTCTTATCAGTTAAGTAGAATACCTGTGAGGAGATAGAATGAGAAGATAGTTTTGTAAAATGGTGCCTGGCATGTAATAAGCACCTAATAAATGGTCATTAAAAAAACAGCCAGCCCTGGCCAGTTTGGCTCAGCGGCTGGAGTGTTGGCCTGTGGCCCAGAGAGTCCGAGGTTTGGTTCCTGCTAGGCCCTAGCAGTTAGGGGCACATACCAAAAAAAAAAAAATAGTCATTGCCCAGCCGGTGTGGCTCAGTGGCTGAGCATCGACCCACGCATGCACCAAGAGGTCGCCCCTTTGATTCTCAGTGGGGGCACAAGCCCAGGTTGTGGGCCTGATCCCCAGTGGGGGGCATGCAGGAGGTGGCCAATCGATGTTCTCTCTCATCGATGTTTCTCTCTCTCCCTTCCTCTCTCTCTAAAAATCAATAAATTTTTTTTAAAGGTCATTACTTTTATTATTACTGCGTTATCTATTCACTGTATCTTAAGTAATTGTCCAAGAAGGGTAAAGACTTCGAATGGTAAGTGTCTCATGATGATCACCAGTGTAACACTCACTCCAAATACCTTGCTTGTGAAGTCTTATTTGAGTCCTTTAGTCCTGGCCAGTTTGCTCAGCGGTTAGAGCATTTGCCTGTGGTTCAGAGAGACCCGGGTTGGGTTCCTGCTAAGGGCATGTACCTCATTGCAGTTTGTCCCTGGCCCTGGTTGGGTCGTGCGGGTAGATGTGTCCCTTTCACATCGATGTTTCTCTTTCCCTCTCTCTCCCACTCTATCTGGACAAAAAATGGAAAAATGTCCTCGGGTGAGGATTTTTTAAAAAGTCCTTTCAACCTTTTAATCTTTTTTTGGTAACCAACAGAAATTCTTCAAGATTTAAATGTGTTTTTATATCTTCTATAACATTTATGGACTAAAAAATTACACAGAAACTCTATAAAAAAATTTCATTTCACTTCTCAGAGTTTTCTCTCATCTGTGGAATAAGCAAGTTGATCAATGATTTCTAAGGTTCCTTAATCAGTTCAAACACTGAAGGACATTTTTGACCCCACAAATAAAAAGAAATGGAAAAACTAGATTGGGCCTGGCAGTACTTAATGTAAATCATAGCCCCCCTGCCACTCCCAAGCTTCTTCCAGAGAGTACTGAGCATTTTCAGTCCGTTTCCTCACTTCAAGGCATCCTTCTACTTTCCTCATTCCCAGTCCTCTGAAACTGCTCTGAGGTCAAAGCCTGTAGACACTTCCCTGTCCTGACCTTGCTGTACTTGTCTATAGTATTTTACACTGTTGACCACTGTGCCCTGCTTGAAACTCCCTTGCCTGGGCTTCAGCATTCTTTTTGTTTTTCTTTTATCTTTACAGTTACCTATTGGTACTTTTAGAGCACCTCTCTGGTCTTAGCCCTAGAAATTGGGTTCAGGAGGTCTAAGTTTGCTATCACCCATGGAGAGTCAACGGGTTTGTCAAGTGTATTATTAATATGGCCTTAATTGAGTTGCACATTCCGAGCGCACCACACCAAAAGCAGACTGAGTCCACTTGGATAAACACAATGGAATTCTGTGAGAACTGCACTTGAAACCAAGATGGTGGTGGAGAACTGTCGTTTGAATGACTTGCTTATCCTGTGTGTGCTTATCCGGGCATCTCAGGATGAGGAAAGATGAACAGGAGGGACTGCAAAGGAAAATGTCCCACTTGAATCAGAGCTTGCCTAGGAGATATCGACTGCTATTGTGTGTTGGCAAACAGGCTCAAGCTGTTTGGTTCCATAAACCTCCATGACCCTGGAAAGTCAGTTTCTCCTCAATGGACTTCACTGAAGACAACTTCCTAACAAATGAACAGGAGGATTTTTATTTTAACTAACTATGTACAGATCTATATATTCATTTTGTCCTATATACAGAGTACTAGTTTCCAATGCTTAATTGCATAACTCCCATAAACTCCCCTTTTCTAGAACTTAAAAACTTTTTACTTTTTCCTGTTTAAATTAGGTAGTGGATCTAACTTTAATCATTATTCACTGATCCCTCTTAATAGAGATTTTTGAAGGTTGTAAGTTAAGAGTCCAGGACACATTTTTAATGACACTAAAGCACAGAAAGATGTAAAGATGAAATGACTATTGAAATGGTAAACTATTTCAGTGAAAAGTTAAATTAACAGTAGAGAAATGCATGAGAAATGACGTATATACAGAGAATAAAAACATTTTAATCTGACGACAATCCTGCAGATTTAATATCTCTAAGTTACAAATTGCAATTTCCTTTAAAAAGTAGCTGCAGATTTAAAGATTAACTAGAAATTTTAATATCTTGACCTACACATAACAATTTTTAAGGTAACAAAGTTAAATATATTTTAACATAAATAAATGTAATATTAAGAAATATTGTTCTGCCCTGGCCGGTTTGGCTCAGTGGTTGGAGCATTAGCCTGCGGACCAGAGAGTCCTGGGTTCAGTTCCCGCTAGAGGCATGTACCAAAAATAAAGAAAAGAAATATTGTTCTTCGGAGTTTTTTTTCCGGATACTTTGCACATTGCCTAGTTAGCAATGTTCAGTAAAATTACATTTATTCATTAGCATAAATTAGGAACATTTTAAATAAGTATTTTAGATTACATATGAATTTGGTAGTCTAACTAAAGCCAGATATTCTATATGTTCAAGTAAGTATTATTCCTTTCTGAGTCAGTCATTTATTCTAAACAGAATTTGTATAGCACATATGAAATGTAATTATAGTGTTAGGATAGCTTTGGGGAATTATGTAATAGAAGGAATACATATAAAGCTGGAATTGAACCAACTTTAGTGTTTTAAAAATTTGTTCAGGTTGACTGTGACAGAAACAAAGCCTAAAAAAGAAACAAAACTAATTACCTCTTTCCAACAGAATCATTAATGCAAATTTGGGAGTAATAAGTCCATGGAACAGAAAACAAAAGTAAAAGAACAGCCACCCATGACATCAACCAGTCTAATAAAAAGTGTACTGATAATCCAAATTGCAAATGATTTTTAAATGTTTAGTGGAGAAACAAAATAAATGGTAAAAAAAAAAGTGAAACAAATTCATAAAGAGTGACTTTCACCAGATCAAAGCTTCAGTTCCATAATTCAGGAATATTTTTGTGAAATGAAACTGTTCTCAAACTTTTAGAACTAAAAATGATTTACCGTGTTTACATGGTGGGAGGTGATAGTGAAGTACCCCCAGGATATAACTCTTAAATGTGGAGCAGGATCAGTCTGACAAGTTCTGTTCCGATGACATTAATTATTCCAGTTCTGTAACTTGTTCTGATTCCATGGACTCTGTATTCGTTTGCTAGGGCTACCAGAACAAATACCACAAACTGGGTGCTTACGTAACAGAGTCTTTATTTCCTCACAGCCTGGAGGCTAGAAGTCCAAGATCAAGGTGTGCAAGGTTGGTTTCCTTCTGAAGCCTCTCTCCTTGGCTTGTAGATGGCCCCATTGTGCCTTTATCGTCACATGGTCTCCCTGTTGTCTTAAACTCTTCTTATAAGGACGCCCATTATATTGGACTAGGACCCATTCATATGACCTCATTTTACCTTAATTACCCTTTTAAAGGCCCCATGTCCAAACACAGTCATTCTGAGGTACTGGGGATTAGGACTTCAACATATGAATTTTAGGGGGATTCAGCCCATAACTGATTCCAACATACTTCGGGTTATAAGAATTCTTGGAAAGAACAGAATATGCTAGGGTACAGACTGATAAACCTCTATACAAGGGGGTAAGAGGGAGGGAAGAGATAAACCAAAGAACTTCTATGCATATATGCAAAACCAGTGGACATAGACAACAATGCTGTGGTGGTGGTGGTGGGGATCGGGAGGAGGGTGTCAATGGGGGGAAAAGAAGAAATATCTGTAACAAAAATTAATTAGTTAATTAATTAATAAAAAAAGAATAGAATATGCTTAGTCAAGGTAATACTGGTATTCTTGTCTATAGGACATTGATGTTTCTCACAGTAGCAATAAATTACTATTCAGATTTAACAATTTATCACTGTACCTTTGATCAATGTAAATCTGTCCCTGGGAGATGTAGTTCCTTCCAGGGCTCCCAACCAATCTGAATTTTGAGCCTGCTTTGTCAAAAATCGTCATTTATTTCATGTTTCATTTTCTATTTGAAGAATCCACTACCAAAACTACTGCGCTAGCCTAGGTTCACTAGAGCCTGCCATAAACAAACAACAAATATTCAACCTCTGCCACTTTACTGGGGGCATTATTTCTGGGGAGCAGGAATTAGGAAAATATGAAGTGAGGCAGACAGTGGAGAAGGGAGCACAAATACAGGTGCTATTGAGTGGGCCACAGCTTTGAAATAAGTGCAGTTAATTCCTCAGTCTTTCAGGATATTTTCCTGGGGCCTATGGATTATCGCCCATTGGGGGGAAAGGAAGGGAGAAGAATTTATTCACCAGCTCCCTCTTGTGCTGCATCTCCTTGGTCAAAGCTCACCTCTCAAGTAGGGTTGCCAGATTTAGCAAATAAATAAATTAATAAATAATACATATTACCATGCGATATTAGTAGCCGAATTACACTAAAGAGTTATTCGTTGACTTTCTGCAATTCCAATTTAACTAAGTGTCCTGTATTTTACTGGTAGTTCCACTCAGGACATAAAACCCATGCATTGCCAGACAGCTTCAGGGGAAGCCTGAGTCTCCACAGACACTGTCCACAGGCACCAACGTTGGCATCTCCTCAGTATAGTGGTGCGGCGGTGGTGGTGAAGCAGCAGCAGTGACTGCTCTGGTGCCACAGGGCAGCTCCAAGCCACTAGGCAAGAGGCAAGGCGAGAGGCAGAGGCAGTGATGGGGAGGGGTGTGGGCAGGAGGACTGCAGGCATGGCTGCATGGACGTGGGATGATAACATAATTTATTGTAAAGACGGATCAATATTCATTATATAATCTTGTTAGTATCTGCAGGACATACTGTACTAGTCACTGGAAATACTGCAGTGAATAAGACAGAGTTCCTGCAATCTGGGAGCTTACAGAATGAATATAGCTCGAACACTGTGTTGAGTCCGTGGTTTAAAAAAAAAAAAAAAGAAAGCTAGTGAAAAGAAATAACTTTAAGAATACTAATTCATTAGATGCATGTTCTCTAAATAATTACTTTGGCAAAAACAAACAAAACCCACAAGACTCCAAAACTATTACATGCATTTCTTTTTGGATGTTTCTAAAAAGAAAGAAAAAAGTATTAGATGGGTTCCATTAGATATTGGAATTATTATTCAGTAAGGAAGAAAAATTTGTTTGTATACTACATTAAAAAAAATAAGTTAAAACACATTAAATAATACTTTTTATTTAGATGTTTGTAAGGCAGATCTATGAAAATAATATAAAAACATGGCATGTAATTTGATAGCAATCATTTGGTGATTACAGAGTTTTAGCAAGTATCTATTACACAACTATAAAGAAGACTATTTTATAAGCAGATACAAAATACCTAATCAAAGATCAAGGTAAGAAGATGAGTATAATCAATTAACAATGGAAAATCAATTCTAATATGAATTGTACATTATCCTTTAAAAACTTTTAAAGGTAAGAATTATTGCATTCTAGTTTATTCAAACAGTGTTAAACGGTATCATGACAAAAAACTGAAGACCAGAATGGATCCATTCTGACTTCCTGTAAAGAAACTCAGGTTTACAATGGCTTAAATACAGGCAAAGGCAATCCAAGTAGTGAAGTGCTCAAGATCTTTTTAGTCTCTACCATGCCATCCTTAGGGTGTGGCCTTGGTTCTCTTGGATATATCAAGGCTCCTGATATTACCATAATACTGACAGAAAGATGGAGGAATAAGATAAAGAATACATGCTGCTTTCCTTTGAAGAGACGTCCATTCCAGGAAGTCACTCATACATTCCCCCTACATCTCACTGGACAACACTGCATCACATGGGACCACCTAACTGCAAGGCAGTTGAGGAATTTGATGAACAGCAGCTTTTAAAGAAGTAGGGTAACCAGACATTGGGATACAACTTCCAGTCGCTGTTCAGGTTGGATTATCTGAAAAACTATGTAAAACCTTTAAAGAAGATGTTGAGAGAACATTTCCTAGAAGTTGGCATTTTGAAAATCATACATAAGCACCAGTTTTGTTGATTTAACTTAGCCCATGCAGTTATTGGGAGTATCCAAACAGTCTGCCCTAATTTTGAATGGCTGCATGAGTGAAAATCCAATGATTTGGAAAGCTAAAAATCTCAGTGTGCACATGTGTTAGGCTGAACTAAACATTGTTTTGGTATCATATGGGCAGAATCTCTGAATTTAGCACTTTATAACTTTTTCACATAAAAAAAAAAATGAAGAACTGTTTCATTCCTGTAAAAATCACTCTTTAAGGGTTAAGAACAGATCGTGTTTCCACAAAAATTACTATAGTTCCATTTAGAGCAATGACACAGACTGAACAGAATTTGTTTCACTGACTTATGAACAATTGAAAGTGGAGCATCTCCTGTTCTTGATGACACATCACAAATATTAATCTTAACACTGAGCCAAGGTGTGTTATACTATGTGTAGCACTGCTTTAAGTCATGAATTCACTAAATAATTTCAACATGACATTTTAAGCTGTTTAAATATTTATTCCTAACAGATTTTATAGACTGACACATGTTTCCAGTGTTCCTAAAGAAATATTTATGAATACCATTTATGGTGCTTTATTTAAAATATCACATAAGAAACCTTAAATTTCACAAATAAACCTCCCTTGGGGGGAACTCTCTGTACAGAATTTATTATGAAATAGTTTAATGGCAAAGGCAATAAAAATGAATTAAGGTTTTATCATATTTCAGAGGAGATCAACAATACAAAAACTGGACAGGATATATTCTTGCCCTTTTACACAAATAATTTTCATAATCTGACTGTATGAACATACCTTATGTTACTATTATCAAATTAATTTAGAAAGTAAAATTCCTTAATCGAGTTAGTATTATGCCAATTTCTTAGAAAATAATCAGGTCATTTAACACAACACTGGAACTCATTAGCCAATCCCTTATGTAGCGCAAAATAATCATCTCCGATAAATGCCTATAAATATAATTTATTCATACTTTAAAATATTTTAAAATATAAATAAAAATCTACATGTAGGCAATCTCAGCTGAATTTCCATAAATGCTTTGAAAATATATGTTAGCATGAATATATTCATATCTAAACATGATTTTAAAATTATTAATAAAGGAGACATTTAGCATCTGCACCAAACGCTAAGTAGCATGATTCAGACCAGGATTGTTTGCTTCTTAGGAAAAAATTACTTGATTTGTTTGCATAGGTTCAAGACTGGATGTATTTTCTACATTCTTATGATTTTCTCCGGGGCACTTCTTAAAGTACAGATTAGAAAACAAATCCCGTTATTTTAAAGTACCCACCCCTTTCTAATATCTAGCAAAACGGAATTCAGTCCTACTTCTGAAGCCAGAGTAGTGATTTCTTTAATAAAAATAATTATGAAAAGCAGTGATGAAGAAAAATAATCAGGTAGGAAACAGTAAAATAAAGCTATTAAAAGTCAACTAAATAAAGCAATTAAGTCAATATTTTTGTATTTTAGGAAGGCTTTTAAATAATTAGAATTATAATGAATATATTACATTTATTCTAAAACTTCAAAATTAATTTCATCTTTGTAAAGAAAAGAGATACCATTTGAAACAACAGTTACATCTTATATATATTTTCATAAACTTTGTTTTTGCAAACTTTCAAAGTCCCATTTAGCTGTCATTGTGACCATTTTATTTATATTATTGGCAACTTAATATATATATGTGTAACAATATACTTCAATAGTTATCTAACTTTTAAAAAGATTTCATGCCCTGGCCGGTTTGGCTCAGCGGTTAGAGCGTCGGCCTGCGGTCCTGAGAGACCCGGGTTCGGTTCCCGCTAGGGGCACGTGCCTCGGTTGCAGTTTGTCCCCGGCCCTGGTCGGTTGTGTGGGTGGCAACCACTCGATGTGTCCCTTCACGTCGATGTTTCTCTCTCTCTGTTCCTCTCTCTCCCTCCCACTCTACCTGAACAAAAAATGGGAAAATGTCCTCAGGTGAGGATTAAAAAAAAAAAAAAAAAAAAAAAAGATTTCATTGTATTTTCACATTAAATGGTGAACATAGGGTCTTAAGACATTGAAACTTAAGGAACAAGAAAGTATTGAAAATGTGCTGTTAATTTCACTAGTCCACTATAATAGTTTACAGGTGTTTACCTTTAAAAGTTAAAGCCCAACTGAATTCCTACTAAGAACTAACAAGTAACTGACTATCAAGAGGGAAGGATTATTAATGAAAATAAAGAAAATGGAGAGCTCAATTAAAAAGTAAAAGATATTCAAATTCACCAAGAAGAGAACATCAGAAAATCATGAATGATCTACCAAATCGACAAAATGCGTAGTAGGGAAAGAGCCAATGGTGGGAAAAGTAGCCTCTACTAAGTAAATGTCCTTTTATTTTTGGCAGCTGGATTCAGTAGTACCTCAGAGGGTAAGTTTAGAAATGCTATAATTTCAGAGGAATGCATAAGATTGTATCTTGTCTGAAATTTTTTATTTTAATAGGAAAGAACTAAGGGGAAAAAAGTAGGGCATTCTAACCAAAGTTTGAATAAAATGCAATTTTAATATGAAATGTCAGCACTGAAAAATTTTATAAATAATCTGTATGATTATATGTCTTTAGAGTAGATTCATAATTAACCATTTACCCTAATATCCTTTATGCTTGCAAACTGCTCCCTAATGAATGGTTGAGCAGGCAGAAGGACTTCTCAAGATGAGAAAAGGAGATGACCAACATACAGGGACTTTTTAAGATGCTGTGGGCCCTGGCCAGTTTGGCTCAGCGGTTAGAGCGTCGGCCTGTGGGACCTCAGCCATTGATTAAAACTGCCATGGTCCTATCTCTGCTGGAATCTCTCATGGTTTGGGGAGGCATATGGACTGCCATGGGTCTTCAGGGTCACATCCCAGGCAAGATACCTCCCCCAAGGTAAGTAACTGTGGATTGTCCCACAATCTGATAACCATAACTCACTCTCAAGAATGTCAATGCTTTTATACATAAGAGGAAGCATAGAGACTGGCATCATGAATGTACTGCATGGAGATGGAGCAGGGGCCATACAGCCCAATGGTTAAAATCATAGACTCTGGAATGTGACCACAGGGACATGAATGCTGACTCTGCCACTAATTAACTCCATGACGTTGGGCAAATTACTTAACTTTTCTATCCTTCAATATTCTCCTATGTAAAATGAGGAAAATAACTACTTCTGTTATGGGGTTGTTTTAAGTATTAAAAGGGATAATACAAGTAAAGTGCTTAGAACAGTATGTGCCTGTTAGAATCCCTCAATGAGCTGTAAAATCCTACACCACAGAGAGTGGTGACTGGCTAAGGTGCAACAACACAGGTTAGTTAACAAACAACTACCTGCATGCAAACCTAATACTTTCCCTCTAACTACAAACAATTATACGATTTCCAGGATTGATACTGTATTAGCAAAATTAGTTTTGGAGGCCAAGTATTACTGCCTTCTCCCTGACAATGTATTAATATTCAAATGGAACTGATTTGTAATAAGATGAAGAAAACGCTTCATGAGGTATGCATTATCAGTGTATCTTTCATGTCTCCAATGCATTTTAAATATAATTTCGGGTTCGATTTATTTTTTTAGTTTGTGTTTGTTCACACGATCACATTGATTCACAAAATTAATGACATTTTTAGGAATATAACCATGCACCCTTACCTAGATGCTAATGTAATACATCCTTTCTTTAAAAAAAAAAATGTGAGCCCTGGCCAGTTTGGCTCAGCAGTTAGAGCGTCGGCCCGCGGACCAGAGAGTCCAGGGTTTGGTTCCTGCTAAAGCCACATACTTCAGTTGCAGTTTGTCCCCGGCCCCGGTTGGGGTCGATGTGTCTCTCTCACATCGATGTTTCTCTCTTTCTTCCTCCTTCTCTCCCTCCCACTCTATCTGAAGATAAATGCAAAAATGTCCTCGCGTGAAGATTAAAAAAAAAAAAAAAATGGGATTATGCACTGCATTTCTACACTGGGCAATAATTAAAACCTTATTTAAGCTTCAGAGGAAAACTTATCTATTGAATTATATTAAAACAAAATTCTGCTGGTTTGCAAAGTGTTTTTTTAACATTATATTATATCTAAATTATTAACTAAGAATATTTTTGTCTGATTATGGAATATAGTTTGTTAAAATGACAGTAATGTCACAGTTGTGCAAATCTAAAAAAAATACATACATTTCAACAATAAGTTAACTGCAAAAATTCATACTGGCAAAAAAATGACATTTGAGAAAATGACTTTGAAGATTCTACCACTATTTGGCTGAGATCACACTGAACAAGTTTCAGCACACAACAATTTGACCGTGTACTGGCAACTGAACATACAGGAAGTCATAAGAATAATGGCATGAGTAAGAATTCCTATGGCATCAGCAAGCACCATTTATTATCACATTACCGTGACCCTCTCTGGTGAGAAAGGAGGAACTGCTCCTCCAATACCTTCTTCTAGAAATTGGCTCTTTTCCCAGCCTTTTTTAATTCTCTTTAGCTTTTGGCTTATACATGGAAGAAGTAAAATGCTTTTACCCAGAATTACAATTGAGGGCAAAACAAGAGCAAGAACGAAGTTTGGTGGTGTATAAAACCTGTAGTACTCTTCTTCAAAAGCTCGTTTCCATCCATAAATTAAAACATGGAAAGTACTTATGAGCAGAGCGACATAGCCAAGTGTAGACTTCGGACAGGGGAGGAAGAAAAAGGAAACAAAGAATAAGAAACAAATTATTCAAACTCATAAATGAACCTATCCAGCAATACCATGTTCATATTTTGATAAAACTATTTTATCTTAAATTATTGAGCTCCTTTTTGTTCTCTACTAAATTTTTTAAAATTTAAATATTTTCATATATATTTATATGCATGCTGTATTTTACACAAATAAGGCCATACTGCATATAGTTTAATAGTCTAATTATTTCGTGTATTATATGAAGAACTTTTTCCTAATGTCACCAACTATGAAAACGTGACTTTAATGCTGTAGAATATTCCACTGAATGGATGTGCTATTATTTATTTAAGCATTCCTTTTGTGTATCATTTACTGTTTCCAGCTTTTCTCAACTATAAATATGTCACTTTAAACCCTTTTCTATATTTTGGTTTATTTCCTTAGAACTGATTTCTTAGAGTGGGATTGCCAGTCAAATATCTAGCTTTACCTTATGGGTATTGATAAAAACGGCTCAACTTCTTTATAAAGGTTGTACAGTCGGCCCTCGTTTATCGCGGTTAATCAGTTCCAGACTCTACTGTGATAAATAAATTTCCATGAAGTAGGGTTCTTTATTTATACAGTTGTCCCTGGCCACTTCGCACTTCGAAATTGTGATAGAGTGAAGCCACGAAAGTCGAAGCGTGAAGTGGCGAGGGACGACTATACATTTCTGCCAGTTGTGTATAGTAGAAAAAATGTGTGTATATATGTATATACATACATATATAATGATATATATTTTATATAAAAATATATATATACATACATATATAATAAAATTAAATCCCGAAGAGCATTCTCATGGGGGTATACATACATGCATATGTACATACTAACTGAAAGTAAATATGAAAAATCTTATATATTAATATGTAATGTAAGTAGCATTTCAAACTTGTGGCTTTATTGACCTTTACTGAGATTATTAAGAGCACTTCAGTTAAGCAGTTTACAGGTTAAAATCTAAAAGGTCAGCATTCCTGGTTCCCTAAATTACGTTCAATTGCTTACTTTGAGAAATACTCTGTCCCATAAATGTAATATTACATCCGTAGAATGATGTAACATCTAACTTCACTGGGAAAGGATCAAAACTCTAGCAGAAAATTGTTCTGTCTGCAATTACTCATCTAAATTTATAAGCATAATTTGCACCCATCTAGCATCTTTTATCTGAGGGCCTTCTATTTCTTTCCAGGTGTGATTAAACTAGCCCTTGGGAAAGTAAGCATATTTTCATTCAAAAATAGGAAAATTATTTTAGACAAGGGAAATGGCCTTAATTTGAATGAGATGAGATTTTTAGATAAATTTAAAACAAAAAAGCTCAAGAAATAGACACCCCCCCCCCCCAAATTTAGTGTATCATCAAATAATACTCATCAGCATTACAGTGCCATAAACCACTTGGATACAGCCAATGCTGATTTTGTGACAATACAGGCAGGGTCTATGTTTGAGTTACATATTTTTAAACATGCAAATTTAGCCCTGGCCCGTGAGGCTCAGTGGGATGGAGCGCAGTTCTGTACACCACAAGGTGGCAGGTTTGATTCCTGGTCAGGGCACATACCCAGGTTTCAGGTTCAGTTTCGTCAGGGCACGTGCAGGAAGCAAACGATTGACAGTTTCTCTCTCACATGGATTTTCTCTCTCTCTCTCTCCCTCCCTCTCTCCTTTCCTCTCTCTTTAAAATCAATAAAAGCATGTCCTTGGTTAAAGATTTTTAAAAAATGCAAATTTATGAAATAACAATAAATAGAGGTGAATATTCAATTAAAGAACAATGGTGTTTTGAAAGTGCTTTGTAGACACTCATATACATATGTATATAACTTATATACTAAATACTTAACAAGTTCATAAGGCTGATTGCCTGTCATAATCCATTAACCTAGTTATCTGTTTTGCCACTGTTTGTGTTTGTGTGTGTGTACACACACATCTTTTAAAACATTTGACTGAATTCAAACTAATAAAATTTTTCTCAGCACAGCAAGATGACTCAAAAATAAAATCATTCTTCATTCATTCGGCTGGTAATACATTGACTTTTGGCATTAAATGTGTTCTAAGCTCACATATCCCCACCTTCATTTTTTTTTTTTTTCTTATTAAAATAACCTTTATCCATAGCAGCGCAGACAACGCTAGCAAAGCCTGCCAACAGAATCTTGTTCTGGTCTTTCACTTACTAAACCAGAATGGTCCTAAACTAACCTCCAACAATGTGAGCTCACCAAGCTTACATGCATAAACACAGCCCCCAAAGGCACTCTTTTCATAAGAAGCATATTTCAAATTCAACTGTACTTAACACTTAAATTCTATGCAGCCCATTCTCTCACCAAACAAAACCCCACATACCTGGATAAAACTGAATTCCCTCCAGTTTAAAGCACTGCTCACTGAAGGGATGGAGGTGACTGCCAGGAGGGACAGTAAGCCCAGGCTCATTATGCCAAAGGAGATATACATTTCAATTCTCCAAACTTCTTCCTCATTCCAAGAGTTTTCAATGTTTGCATGAACCTAACAAGAGGGCAAACATGAATTTCCCTTATTTGGTAGAACATTAACTGACTGAGCACGGAGTTCACTCTTGGCATATGAATACATCACACATGGACATATTTTCGTTGTAGTAATTCAATTTAACTGTTGTGGAAAACCTGTTGCTGGATGATACTGTTCCAGGCGTGGGAGAAAGAGAATGGTGAGTTAAACACAAAGAGGACTAGGAGTCTCTCCTTCCTTGCACACATGTGAGAAGAGTGGGCAAACCTGTCTCACATTTGTAGTGCATCATGAATAGGGGACTCTGGCGTCCTAAGACCATGACATGCCCAGCGGTCGGTTCTGGGTGACAGGAAGGAAGTATTGGCAATTAGACTTAGTTCTGAGGTACTTTTACAAGTTGGTTTACACTTGATTGAATAGTTTGGGTACATTCTGGACTTAGTTACACTTGGAACCCAGGGAGGGAATGTCTTAACTACTTCTGTATGGTCCATCTAGAATATTTACACGTTGATTTATCTCTTTCTTCTTACGTTCTTTTCCATAGGAAGTGGAGATTTCCCTGAGGACTATTTAATATACTTTTCCAACTGTCCAACTGCTTCCTTCCTATAAAGTACTTTTTTAAAATGTCTCTCCCTTACAATGATAATGCATATATAATCAGGTCAGACTTGATTAACTCTGAATGTGTGGTATCCTGCATAGGAACTATTCATAGAATAGTCTACTTATATGAAAACAATATCAGAGTATCAATCAAGGCTTGGACTCCTTGGGCTAAAGCTCTGATTTAAGTATCTATTCGTGGAAAACAGATTCTAATGTAACACTAGCTTAATGTTGTCCAGTGCCAGTTAACCAAACATACTTGAAATTAAAACAAAGAAAAGCTAGATCTTAGCCATTAGGTCAGAGAGTTCGTCTGGGGGAAAGGGCTCTTCCTATCTCATCTGATGTCTGTACAACACAGAAGAGCAGCACACCTCGGTACACCCAGGGGTTACAACCTGACCTACCTGCCTTCCCAGTTCATCCCTTCATTCTGCAAATATGCTTTCAGAGTATTTACCTGTGCCAGGCACAGTTCTAGACAGTAGGCATACATCAGAGAACAAAATGGACAAAGATACATGAAGAGTCAAGATAGGAAATATATAAAAAAATAAAATAAAATGGAGTCATTTAAATCAAGCTGCTACAATTATTGATATTATGAAGGTTGAGACTTGAGGAAATACTCCATTCTTGTCCCAATTAACCTGGGAACTTGAACTTTCCAGAGCTGCATTAATGTCTGGATATACATCTGGACCACCAGGGAACTCTCTAGTTATCCCCTGAAAGACTCACTTGTCCAGGCCACCTAATTATCCCATGAAGGACTCAGATGTAGCCACCTGATATTCATTACCCAGACCACTGGGACCTGACCAGAGCTCCTGGTGCCCATCTTCTACACCACCTGACACCCATCATCCTGACTGCCTGACATCTGACTGGTAACTGTCCTGGGCCAATTCTAGGGCTAAGAATGCAGGACTGATTATTCTCAAGAACACACTTTTTACCACAAGACCTTTGAACTTCTTTTCTTCTTTGGGTTTTTGCCTAGTTCCACTCCCAGTTGGCAAACTCTAAGACCCTTGAATAAATTTCTATCATTTATTTCTAGCAAAGCCTCTACACTCTTTGAGTTCGTTTGGCATTACATTCTAATGAGAGAAGGCAGACAACAGTAAATATAATAAACAAGGAAAACATAAAGGGTGTTAAAAGGTGGTAATTGCTATTGACAACAGAGAAAGTAAAGCAGAGTAAGAGGAGCTGGGAGTTCCGGGGTTGAGTTGGAAGCAGGTAGCAGAATTTAAAATGATGTCCAATGTCAGCCTCATTGAGGGGGTGAGATCTGAGCAAATGACTTGAAGGAGGGAGGAAGCTGGTAGAGCAGATATCAAAGCCTCAGTTAAGAGTAGTATTTTTAGGAAAAGAATGGCTTAAAAACATTAATGTATTAATTTTTTTCCAAATGAATTTAGGTTGAAATTGTTGAAACACATATAAGGACTAGATGCTACATACTTGGACTATGATGCCTTGGTCCCTTATACAAAGAAAAAGCTTTTATACATTTGTGTTGGTGCAGTGTCCTTGGGTTTCATTGAGAAATGCTACATTGAAGAGCTTCCATGATACCCGGTATTTTACATTCAGTGAATGGGAATTATTGAGGAAATTGGTCTACTCCATCATTAAGCTCCTTCTATGAAGCTTTCCTCAAAATTTTCTTGAGCAAAGTGCTAGAAAAATTTCACCTGAGGAACTAGTATCTTTCTTGCTTTTTGATAACAAAAACCTTGTAAATATAAGTCTCTAGATCTTGACTTCCTATTCTGTTTTATGTTTGCAAGGGTTCTAATTTTACTGTATACATTTACTAAGAATCGCCTTAATGTTTCATGGAACATAGCCAATTACAAAACATTAAAATAACAAGCTGTTCAGTACCGAAAGCAATCATTGCAATAACAACATTAAAAGAAAAAGAAAAAGAAAAACCCAATCCATTATTTCTCTGCTTTTATTCTGCAAAGAAAGGAATGGCTGCAGCTTTTACCCTAAATGACTTTGCATTAACCACATAATTCTTATGCAGAAACATTGTTTAAGGAACAATCCTTTCGCTGCCCTAAATATACCAAGGTATGCAAAGTTGCACTCTATTTTTAATGTTACATTTTACAAATTATGTTAAGCATCAGATAAATAACAAGGATGGTCCATACCTGCTGATAAGCCATGTTGAGAAACAAGTATCTCTCTGACCGTCTCATTGGTAAGCAGAGGCTGTAGGCAACATGAACTGAAGCGAAGAAAAAACTGAGTAATCCAAGCTGTTTTCTACACTGTAACCAGGTCTCCAACCAAGGTGGAAATCTCCTATACTTGGTGCCATAATAAAGTTGATAAGCAGCTGCCAGGAGGCCTGCTAAGTATACCAGAGACAGCAAAGTAATGGCAACTACGGGCAAGGTTTTATTCACAATCTCAATAGGAATCTTGTAAAAGTCACTTTGCTGGTTTCTAGCATATGGATGTATCACATCTCTGACAAAGGAATAAAGAAAGAAAAACGTGGCCAGGCTTATGGCTACCACCACTGGCCCTCTCCAGAGAGTAAATAGTCGCAGGGGTAAATTTTCAATCTCCCTGGCGGATGATAATGATCCCAAGTCAACGGGAATAAAATTCAACTGCCGGGCAAGTTCGATGACCTGTTGTCGAGCTTGAATATTGTTGCTGCAAATATAAACCTGCAGCAAAAACAAAAGACACATCATTACTGTTGCTGCTTATAAAAATGGTAATGATCCCACACTCCACTGAATCTACGGAGCATCACTTGTGATGACACTAAGTGATGCAAAAAGTCAGGGGCATAAAGCATTTATTAATTTATTATTTATTAATAGGTTAAAATAGTGTCATTAAAAACAACAAAGTCCCTGCTACCTGAGATGACACAAAAATAAAATGCAGACAAACCTAGCTAGAACCCGAGTTCAGGATGTCCTCAGGAGAAGGAAGGTAGGAGGAAAAAAAGGATTCTAGACCATGTGGTTCAGCAGCACAGGGGATTTAGGATCTCCTCTTCACTGGAGGCAGATGCAGTTTGAGCTGCTGGTCCTGCCCAGCCCCTCTCCCGCTCTCTCTCCCCCACTGGGAACAGGGTGGGGCTGGCGCTTCAGGCTTTCCTGGATAGTATTTAGTTGTAGGACAACAGAGATTCTGCCTAGTAGAGTGATTACAAGCACTGCCCTTTACACATATTCAGCAAGAGAGAAGATGACCATGGACTCTGGGCTGAATTTGCAATTAAAACTTCTAAATTATATTATGACGCTATATTGTTTACTAAATTGATCTTTTGGCTTAGAAACCAATTTGCCAAGTATCTCTGAAAAACCACGGGTTAGCTCAAGTATATTATTTCACTGGTCAGAATATGAGATTCTTTCATCTTTAAATGATACAATATACCTAGAGGGGGAAAAGAATGGTATTATAAGGCTTAGTTAATTTAAAAAGTGAACCTACTACCGTTTTCTAACACTAAGGAGTTAGCTCTATAGGAACGCTAATGACGTGATGAGTGGGGTGGGCTTTCAAACGACCAAAGCCTCTTAGATATACTACTGCAGATAAGAATTCAACCAATATTTGTTGCGCACCAAGTTCGTTGCTGGAGCAAGCCACTATTATATATGGGGCAGTCATCTCACTTAGGGCTAGAAAAATACTGTTATTAAGTAAGGTTGGGGAAAATAAATTCCTAAATATATCTATCCCTGAAGGTGTTTACATAACCATACTGAAATACTGGCACGCTAAACCTATTTACACTATGCGGACAATGTAAAGCTCTTTAAATTACTAATTTTACCTAATATTAGGCAAATGAGTGACAAAATCTATACTGTTATATAAATGTTCATGAACTTCTAAAATGGAGTGGGCAACAATACCTATATAACAAAGAAATAAAAGCATTCTAAATTCACTTATTACAGCTGCGACAATGGTGAAGTAAATGCTTTTATTGTGAAATAGAAACTATTTCTGTAGCTCACTTTGAATTAAATCATTGTTCCACAAAGTTTTTGTTGTTAAAGAACTAAAATGATCGCAAATATGGGCAAAAGATTAAAATTTTCCCTAATTTAGTCTGTATCCTTTGCTAAAACTTTGGTGCATACATGAAAGGAAAATAGGATTCAAAAACAGCCTCCAGGAAAGTTAAAATATATTCTTTTACTAGTCTTCCAAATTAAAGACTTGAAAGTGAATGGTTATCATGACTGATATGCAACATACAATGATTGATACAATACTTGAATTTATTTTTTAAGACCCCCTAATCAACTGTCTTTATGGACAAAAATAATAAAAGTGCTTTATCATAATGCTGAATTATAATGCATCACCACACCTTTAAAAGATTTTCAAGGTGCACTATTTTATATATTTACTTATAAAAGCTCTCATACCACAAAGGCATTGATGGGGTTCCCCACCTGCTTTTATTTTCAAGTTGAACTAGACAGAACCCCTAGACTAAAAAAGAACCTAAGAAATCCAATCTGCTTCTATCTTCTCCGCTCGAATTAAAATCTACACTTAAAATAAAACAACCTGTACTACTGTATTTTAATACATTCTATGAATAATCTATGTAAAATAAAAAGGCACGCCCGCATTCTTCTTGAGAATCATTCAATGGCATTTCGTACAGAGATGGAATACGGTAACTGAACAGCTGCAGAAAGGCAGAGGGAAGGAGAAAAGGGAGGGAGGAAACAAGGTTGGGAGGGAAGAAGGGAAAGAAAAAGGCCGTGTTGGCCGTGTTTCTACTTGTGAGGAAGCAAGGAGAGCCTCAACGCAACGTGCCCCCTTACTCATCAGCCAGCCTTACCTTTCCTTGAATTAGCTGGTGATGCAGAGAAGTCTAAGTTATTTCCCAGCTTTCCATATGACTTTGTGCAGAGAAATGTGCCCCTATAAGGTAGGACATGAACTTTCAGGTGCTCATACACAGTTTTCAAAATGATCATCATTGGAGGGTGTCAGAATTTGGTTTTTAAATGAATAATATTTGTTTAACTACAAAATACCAGATCAACAAGAATAAAATTAAAAAATACATACCTGCCGGCTGGCATCCTTAGGTCCTAGCTGAAGTGCCCAAGCTGAGATAACATTAAATCCTTTGACAATTAGTGAATCCGGGAATAAGGAAGCCAAATATTCAGCATTGGATTCTGGGTATTGGTTTATCTTCATGTTATTGCTCACATCAATCAGGATTTTACCCACAAGCAGATGTCTCAGGTCCCACAGGGAGGTGTAATGTTCTCTATGTATAGCAACAAATATTATATTTGTTTTGGTTAACACATCTTCATGGTGAGTGACATCTACCACATGAGGAAAAAATTCCGAAGCAAATTTAGGATTTCTACTTCCTATCACCACATGATAGCCACATCTAATAAGTCGAATGGTCAGGGATTTGGCAAAATCCCCACTTCCAATGACACCTACAGTGACCTTCCTTGCATCTTTGATGCCATTTATACCATTAGGCAAAAAAGTTTCACTAAGGCTCTTAGGGCTTCCCATTACAGAGATCGATTCCATGATACAGGTTCTTCCAAGATCACTAGGGATATCCTAGGGGAGAGAAAATAAAATATTCATCAATTACCTGTTACCAAATTAATACACTTCCAGACATTATCATATGTCCCTCATTTCTACAGGTGAAATATTTCAGCAAGCTATATAACCTAGAACTCAGTAAGACACAATTTGTAAGCTAAAAAAGGATCTCAAAATAGAAAAAAATGAACTGTTATATGCTATATATACTATGAAAAGTTAATATACTAAAGTGGGGCCTCTCAGATTTTAATGTGCACATGAATCACCTGAGAATCTTGTTAAAATGCTGCTTCTGATACAGCAGTTGTGGAGTGAGGCCCAAGATTCTGCATTTCTAATAAAGTGAGCTGATGCTGCTGGTCTGCAGACCCCTCTTTGAACAGAAGGCACTAAAGAAAAAGAAGAGATTGATGTCTTCACCTAGAACATTTTTAAAAACACAGTTCTTTTATTTTATTTTATTTTTATTTTTTTTATTGATTTTAGAGAGAGAGAGAGTGGAGGGAGAGGGAGAGAGAGATAGAAACATCAATGAGAGAGAGCATCGACTGGCCACCTCCTGCATGGCCCACACCGGGGATTGGACCCACTACCTGGGCATGTGCCCTGACCAGGAATCGAACTGGTGACCTCTTGGTGCATGGGTCTACGCTCAACCACTGAGCCACACCAGCTGGGCAAAAACAGTTCTAACAAACCTGATTACCCATTTCCCAGCAGATCAAAAGGCAACAAAACAGAAAAGCTGCTGGAGGAAGAAAGGACTGTGATAGGATCTGATAGCACACAGGACAACAGAAAAGAGAAAAACCATAAAAAACAAAGAGCCCTGGCTGGGTAGCTCAGTTGGTTGGAACGTGGTCCTGATACACCAAGGCTGCAAGTCTGATCCCTGGTCAGGACACATACAAGAATCACCAGTGAATGCATGCATAAGAGGGACAACAAATCACTGTTTCTCTCTCCCTTTAATCCTCACCCAAGGACATTTTTGCATTTTTTGTTCAGACAGAGCGGGAGCGAGAGAGAGGAAGAGAGAGCGAGAGAGAAACATCGATGTGAAGGGACACATCGAGTGGTTGCCACCCGCACGACCAACCAGGGCCGGGGACAAACTGCAACCGAGGTACATGCCCTTAGCGGGAACCGAACCCGGGTCTCTCTGTACCGCAGGCCGACGCTCTAACCGCTGAGCCAAACCGGCCAGGGCTGTTTCTCTCTCCCTTTAAAATCAATCAATAAAATTTTTAAAAAATGCTTAAATTCAAACTGTCTAGAGTCATTTGGGGTGGAGTCTATATACCTCAGTAGCTAATGCATGATTTTATTAAATGAGAGTAAGATAAATCAGCTACTAAAACGTGAACCTAGGCACACTTAAATAATATCTTTAAAAAAATAGGCATTAAAATATAACAAAGGTTTCATTAAATATCTTTGGCTACTATCATTCACTCTGTATCTTATAACTTATCACTGAGAAAGACAGCAGCAAGTGAGGGAGCCAGGATTAGAATCCAGGCAGTTCAGCTAAGGCATGTGTCACTCAGGCACAAGTAAGAAACTTAAGAAAAGGCTTTTTCTTTGGGCATGAGGAGAAGAGAAAAAGAATTGTGCTCATATTAGTATATTCTTCTTTGGCCACTACTCCTTAGCATTACCTAGTGATTTTAATGTCTAATTTAGATCCCGAGAAAGAAGAAAATTCACTATTTTTAATCTATTAGACATGTTCCACTTCACACTTTCCAAGATAGAAGGGATGACAATGATCTGCTTCCCCCTGGAGTGATTTCAAGCACCCAGAAGGCCAAGAGGGGTCAGAAGCACCAGGGTAGTACAAAAACATTAACATCCTCTTGGAGAAGTCATTATTTTTATTATTCAGGAGCAGTTAAAAGAACCAGAAGCAATTTAATGAACGATCATTTCATTCGACAATTCAAGTTGAACAGACCAATTTATCCCTTGGCATATATTATCTAAGGGTAAGGGTTACTAGACTTACACACAGGAACCCAAGTACCCTATACCCTAGTCCTGACTTCTTCTGAGTAGATATTGTATCAACTCCCCAAACATAAGAATTGCAAAATCTTTAAATCTAAGAAACGTTGATCAAAGCCTTTTCAAACTAAAAACAAAACAAAAGCAAAACAATATTAGTTATCTGCTAATTTCACAAAGCAAATTAAAACCCCATCAGTAAATCAGAATGTGAACAGGTAAAAATACACTAGGATCTAATAATGGCATCTATGGGCCTTTCATTATACCATGTATTTTAATACATTTATAGGTAACTGTTCTAACATGTTTGGGCCTTATTCACATTCTATTTCTTATAGCAAGTTCTAACTGAACTCTTTAATGGTGTGACTGTGACTACACATAAAAGTTGGCCTAATAAATGAGACTCTTTTTATTACAGTTTTAAGGAATGTGAAAGTATCCGTGAGAAAAAGAAATGGAAAAAAAAACCCTGTAAAGGATCTGAGAGATGGATTATTTGTGTATTGTAGAAAGCATGTAGTACTAAAATGTGCTCGCGTGCTATTTAATACTTCACAGTCTTTTCATATATATTATCTTACTGAATTCTCACATGGCTGTGGAGTACATGTTATGTCCATCTTAAAGACGAGAAACAGGCTCTGAGAATTTTAGTGATTTGCTTAAGACAATGCGGTTTGTAGTGACCCAACCAGGATTTAAAAACAAGTCTTCCCACCTAACATTTTATGGGAATTATCCACTGAAACTCTTGGATAATTGGTATGCATCCTTATTTGAAAATCATTTTCCAAAAATTATGAAATGGTAATATTATTTAAATGATGTAGATTTATTTTTTGAAATTCTGTTTGTATACTATCACAATTGTAAATGATTTATTAACATTTTATACTTGCATCTGAGTGGCTTTGGTGTTCATGTTTGACAGAACAAACCAAAGAATTTTCAGAAGAAATATAATAACATTTGAGCTAAAGCTTGACTACCTCCAAGCCTTCCAATTACCAGAATTTTAGTGAGATAAACTCAAAATAAATAAATAAATGCTCCAATTAAAAGAAATAGGGTGATGGAATGGATAAGAAAGAATGACCCATATATATGCAGTTTACAAGACACCTACCTCAAAACAAAATATTCACACAGACTGAAAGTGAAGGGATGAAAAAAAAATATTCCATGCAAATGGGAATGAAATAAAAAGTGGAGGTAGCAATACACATATCTGACAAAATAAGACTTCAAAACAATGGCCGTAAGAAGAGACAAAGAAGGCCACTATATAATACTAGAAGAATCAATCCAAAAAGAAAATATAACCCTTGTAAACACATATGTACCCATACATATAAAAAAAACTCTTGATAGACTTTAAGGGAGAGATCGTTAGCAATACAGTCACAGTAGGGGACTTTAACACACTTCTGACATTACTGGATGGATATTCCAGACCAAAAAAAAAAAAAAATCAACAAGAAAACAGTGGATTTAAATGATGCATTAGATCAGATGAATCTAACTGATATTTACAGAACATTTCACCCCAAAGCAGCAGAATATACATTCTTCTAAAGTGCACATGGAACATTCTCAAAGATAGACCTCATGCTAGGACACAACACAAGTCTATACAAATTCAAGAAGACTAATATCATACCAAACATCTTCTCAGATAACAATGCTATGAAACTAGGAGTCAATTATAATAAGAAAACAAAAACAAACAAAAAAAAACTCAAACTCAAATACATGGAGGCTAAATAGCATGTTAGTAAACAATGAATGGGTTAACAATGAGATCAAGCAAGAAATAAAAACCTTCCTGGAAACAAATGAAAATGAACACACAACAGCCTAAAACCTACAGGACACAGTGAAAGCAATCTTGAGACAGAAGTTCATAGCATTAATGTCCTACCTAAAGAAAGACAAAACTTTATATAAAACTATCTCTTTCTAATTGTTTAAAAATTTAAACAACTAGAAAGAGAAAAGGAAGAAAAGCCCGGAGTAAGTAGAAGGAAGGAAATAATAATGATCAGAGCAGAAATAAATGACATAGAAACTAAAAAAAAAAAACTACACAAAAGATCAATGAATCCAAGAGCTGGTTCTTTGAAAAGATAAACAAGATTGATGAACCCTTAGCCAGACTCATCAAGAAATGAAGAGAACACAAATAAATAAAATCAGAAATGAAAGAGGCAATATAACAAAGGGCATCATAGAAATGCAAAGAATTGTACAAAAATACTACAAATAACTATATGTCATCAAACTGGATAATCTGGGCAAAATGGACAAATTCCTAGAAACAATACAATCTTCCAAAACTCAGTCAGAAAACCTGAATAGGCCAATAACAACTAATGAAATTGAAGCAGTAACAACAACAACAACAACAACAACAAAAACTCCCAGCAAACAAAAGTCCTGGACTTACAGGAGAGTTTTACCAAACATTCAAAGTTTTACCAAACATTCAAAGATGAACTATCCTCAAACTATTCCAAAAAATTCAAGAGAAAGGCACACTTCTAAGCTCTTTTTACAAAGCCAACATTATCCTAATTCCAAAACCAGATAAAGACACTACAAAAGAAAAAAATTATAGGCCAATATACATGATGAACACAGATGCTAAAATCCCCAACAAAATTTTAGCAAATCAGGTCCAGCAATACATTAAAAAGACCATACACCATAACCAAGTGGAATTTATTCCAGGGATGCAAAACTGGTGCAATATTCACAAATCAATAAATGTGATACATCACATAAACAAAATGAAGAATAAAAATCATACGATCGTATCAATAGACAAAGAAAAATCATTTAAAAAATCCAGCAGCCATTTTTTTTTTTTATCCTCACCTGAGGACATTTTTCCATTTTTTGTTCAGGTAGAGTGGGAGGGAGAGAGGAACAGAGAGAGAGAGAGAGAAACATCGATGTGAAAGGGACACATCGAGTGGCTGCCACCCGCACGACCGACCAGGGCCGGGGACAAACTGCAACCGAGGTACGCACCCTTAGCGGGAACCTAACCCGGGTCTCTCAGGACCGCAGGCTGACACTCTAACCGCTGAGCCAAACCGGCCAGGGCGCAGCAGCCATTTTTGATAAAAACTCTCAGCAAAGCAAGAATAGAAGGATCATATCTCAGCATAGTATAAGCCATATATGTGTTTCCCTTACAAAAAGGAACAAGAATGACCACTCTCACCTTTCTTATTCATCACAGTACTGGAAGTGCTAGCCATAGTGATCAGACAAGAAGAAAGGATAAAAGGCATCCAAATTGGAAAGGAAGAAATAAAATTATCATTATTCGCAGATGACATCATATTGTACACAGAAAACCTTTACAACTCCACCGAAAAGCTACTAGATTTAATACATAATTTCAGCAAAGTAGTAGGATACAACATTAACGTCCAGAAACTGATGGCATTTTTACACACCAAAAATGAACTATCAGAAAGAGAAACTAAGAAAACAATCCCATTTAACACTGCTATGAAAAAAAAAAAAAAAAGATACCT